GACTGGAGAGATGGCTCAGTGGTTAAGAGCACTGACTTCTCTCAAAGAGGACCTGGGTTTGAGTCCCAGCACCCACATGGCAGCTAACAACCACCTGTAACTCCAGTTCCAGGGAATCCAACACCTTCTGACCTCCATGGGCATTGTATGACAGGAGTACACTTATATGTATACAGGCAATACACTCATACACATAAAATAAAAATAATAAAATGTTTTTTTAACTTGAAAATATGGATTTTCATTAAATTCAGATTTCTTACTGGACATTGAGCTAACTGTAGGAACTACTTTCTTACATAGTTGCTTATAATAGAAAAATTTCCTTAATGATTCTCCTTACAGAAATCTGCATTCATTAAGAAAACTAAATTCTGTAGAGTATTGTGTTTCCTGATTGTGTCAAAGTATTAATAAGATTGATTAACTCCAGATAAGCTGCTGGTATTAATAAGAAAATATCACAAATAATTCATTGAGGTATGTAATTTCTCCTGTTACACTCTGGGCACGAAATGATGCGAGTTAGAGTGTGGTGGCAGGAAGATAAAGGAGAAGTTCTGAAATTAAAGATGAGAGATAGGACTTTACAAGACCACTGCCCAGCACAGGCCTCTGTCTCAGTTATGTCCCCTCAGCTATGCCATCCTGTTTATGCAGAAGCAGCTTCCTGTCAGACTCATTCTATCATGCCAGCAGGGCCATGACTTTGGGGCTGCTACTGCTGTCCATCCATTCCCCCCAACCCTGGCTCACTGTAAGCCTACTCCAAGGTCATCTGTGTCAGTTCCAAGCCTCAGGAATTTAGCAGCAGCGCAGCCAAAGGGGCTAGGGGCCACTGCCAGGCTCTGGCACAGTGGTAACAAAACCCACAGTTATCAGGAGGGCAGTACCCACCGCCCATTTGTAGGTGTCTTTTCCAAGTCATCAGATGTGGAGGGGGTGCTTTTCCGTCAAAGTGGAAAGGCCAAGCTTTCCCCCCAAAACAACTGAAGTAGAACAGAAGACGTGTTTGGGTACTGGCTGGGAGGCAGAGTACTTGCTGGAGGATTTAGTGACAGGTCACTGGCCTCTGTTCTACAGTCGGCAGGACGGTCAGCGCTCCTGACTCTGCTCCTCTTGCACAGGCCTGAGCAGCACCCTCCTGCAGTGCAGAGGTCCTGGGGCAGCGGGCAGGCAAGGGATCAGCAAAATGAGGCTTCAGAATCAGGCCTGGGCTCAAACCCACCTCCTCTGAAAGGCTCACTGGGTAGCATGGGCACCACCCACCTTCCATCTGTGTCATGTGTTGATGGTGCCGTGTCAGGAGCGATGTGTCCCCCTCGGCTGGCTTTGGGAGCAGGCTCTGTAACCCTGGGTGGCGCTACCACCTCATCGCGCTGCATGGCTACCTTGTCCGTTTTGGTTTGGGGGAAGTTGTTCACTTGTCTCCTTTGAGATGGGGTGTTGCTGTAGTCGCCCGAAGACTGGTCTCAACCTTCTGGGCTTCAGAGTCCCCCGTCTTGATGTCTTAGAGTGGACAAACATGTACCATTTCACCGGACTTACTGACTTTAAGGAGGAAAGAAAACTTCTGAGAAACATTCTCCTAAATTCCTTCAAAATTGTCTCTGAATAAGACAAGTGAAATGGGGCTAATAAAGCGGTTCTGTGAGTGTGGGTGTGTGTGTGCGTGCACAGATACACGTGTACATGTGTGCGTATGAGTGTGGAGGCCAGAGGTCAACCACAGCTCATTGTCCACCTTGTTTTTTTAAGACCGAGTCTCTCTTTGGCCTGGAGCTCACTAAGTAGGCTAGGCTGCCAGTGGCTCCAGGAATCCACCACTCTCCACCTCCCGAGCACTGTGATTACAAGGATACATCCCCACACCTGACATTTTTAATGTAAGTTCTGGGGATCAAACTCTGGTCCTCATGTTTGAAGGCAGGTGCTTAACTGACTGAGTCATCTCCCTGGCCCAATAAAGTAGCGAGCATATTCCTGTCATCCGGCATCCCAGGGTCCAGTGGATGCTCCATGTTCTGCTCTGACCTTAGCCATTGAAGGTGCCACAGAAGTCACTGTGTTGTTGGCAGAGGTGCCAAACAGAACACTCCTTTCTACACCGTCGTGGAGTTAGAAGGGACCCGGGAGACCATCTGTTCTCCTCCCCGTGTCAGCTCCTGTGCTTGTGAGACACCGGCTCTTCCAGTCCCAGCCAGACTGAGTGCCAGATGGCTGATCATGCCCTTCCCTGATCTGCGTGCATGCTACGGTTCTTTCCTTATGAAGCCCCTCCCTGGTCAATATGGGGAGATCGTGTCTCAAAACAAATAGGCAAACAAGGAACGATCCCTATAAAAACCAAAACAGATAGCACAGCTGTAAACAATCATAAACATCACGAGACTACCCAACATCAGGAAGCACGCTCTACAAGGCCCTTGTAGAGGTAGCAAGTTTGTTTATTATTGTTGTCTGTGTGGTGTACATGCCACAGTGTGTGTGTGCAGATAGGAAGACGGCTTTGTAGAGTCAGTTTTCTCCCTCCCCCTTTACATAGGGTCCTAGTTACTTTCAATTGCTGTGATGAAACACAAAACCAGCTTGGGGAGGAAGGGTTTATTTGGCTCTTAAGCACAGTCCATCACTGAGGTGAGCCAAGGCAGGAACTTGGGGCAAGGAACCTGGAGCACAGATCATGGAGGAACACTGCTCACTGGCTTGCTCCTCTGGCCCCTGCTCAGCCCGCGTTCTTATACAACACAGGGCCACCTGCCCAGGGTTGGTGCCACCCACAGTGGGCTGGGCCCTCCCACATTGCTCACCAGTCAAGAAAATGCCTCATAGACATGGCTACAGGCCAATCCAATAGAGGTAATGCCTAAATTAAGGGTCCCTCTGCCCAGGTGTATCAAGTACACACTATCTAGCACACATGGGTTCCAGGGATTGAACTCGAGTCATCAGACAAAGTGGCACGTGCCTTTACCCACTGAGTCATCTTCCCAGTCCAAGTCACACTTCGAGGATAGCATCTCTCCTTGCTTGCTCCTGATTTCCTCTCAGCTCACCCTTCTCAACCCCATTTTACAGATTAGGAAACAGAGCTGTTCCCATGCAAAGTCTATGTGGGGTGGGGGATATGCATGTGTGTGGAGACCAGAGGCTGACTTTGGGTGTGTTCCCTCAACTGCTGTCTACCTTATTAACCAAGATAGGGCCTCTCACTGAACCTGGAGCTTATCGTTGTAGCCAGTCTAACTATCTGTTTGCCCCAGGGACTCCCCATCTCTGCCTTTCATGTACAGGGATTCCAGGTGTGCTGTAACACCTCCCCAGAGTTTACATGGGTGCTGGGACTCTGAACTCCAGCCCTCATGCTTACATGGCAAGGGCTTTATCCACTGAGTCATCTTCTCAGCCTTCAGGCCATATACCAAAGGCTTGGGTGCTGGAACTCTGTACGGGTGAGCGTGGACTCGTCCCTGGAATTTTCCATTCAAAATCTCACAGGGTCCATGTTGCTGTGTTCTGCACTTAAGCCTGTTTTGAAAATCCTTTCTTAAAAAAAATTTAATGTCTTCAGCTATACTCAAGGACTCATGTAGGGATAGTGTATGTGTAATTTTTCAGTAGGTTTTTGGATTAATACATAATAAGAAACAGTGCCAGACAGGAGAAACCTTCCTTTGAATTGTTGGCCAGGGTGGTCCAAGAGACTCCCCAAATTACACAGGCTATTGCCTCGGCCCTTGATGGCCTCCCAGAACTTGATGGTAAGACCCTATTGCTGAAGACAGGACATACTTTGGACACAGTATTTGGAACAACAGAGCTGGGGCTGACCTGGAAGCCACCTCCCCTGAAGGCAGCTCTCAAAGCTTTGGAGAGCACTGTGCAAGCTGCTAAGGGAGATCATCAATAGATGGTCCAACTCCAGCTTCAAGACCTAAAAACCACATCAATGACCAGCACAGCAAATGACGTTGGTGCAGTAGTGGTACTTTTATTTTGGGGATCATCAACAGCTACATAATTGGACTTAAAGCCCACTCAACGGGAGGAAATGCATGTGTGGTACTGTAAACCCGGCCAAATACACATAGCTGGAGAGGTCATAGATCTTACAGAAAAACCCAAGGCTGTTACATGCCTAGATAAGTGTAATTTCTTACTATGTGAAAAATATTGATCCTTAAATTTACAGACAGGTATCCCAGTCACCACCCATCAAAGTAGCTTCTTTTTCAACACACAGAGATTATTACAGAATTATACCACTGGTCACACACAGAGATTCTCTGTGAATTGCCAAAGCCTAAGTGGTACATCTAGGATGCAGCCTGTGCACCTAAGACTCACAGAACATAGAACAAGGGATGAAGAGAACACTGATGCATCTTTCAGTTCTCATCAGTGAAGCTCCCTCATTCAACAGAGGGCCAGGAACACAAAAGGTCACAAATGGCCAAAACGCAGAGAATAAGAATGGACAGAGTATGGCTCCTTGGACAGGACTCCTATATTGAGGTCCACTCACCCAGGGCTCGGACCATTGCAGAAGAGGGGGCGGGAAGATTGTAGTTGTCAGGGAGGAGGTACATGACCATAGGGACCTGTACCTATGTACCTATGGCCATAGGGACATAACAAGTGCCAGGGACCCTTCCTATACAAACCTACAGCAATGGTGTCGGCATGCTCAAGACCCATGGAAACTTAGGCAGACAAATACCCAGCACAGGACTGTGGAAATGAACAGCAGGGCCCAATCTTAGGGAGAGACTCTAGATAGGCTGACTAAATCCCAGTGGATGAGCTTGCACTGAGGGACATCTTGGGATACTAACCTTACATAATAGACCTTAATACAGATGACATACTGTATGAACTCCAGTGGGGGGGCGGCTCCAGGAGGGCGCCAAAGGGGGAGTATAAAGATGATTTTATGTTTGTGAAATACACAAACATTTAATAAAAATTTAAAAAATTTTAATGTGTTTCTTTATTCCAAGGTCAACACAAGATCAAGTTCATCCCAGAGATGGTCGGCCCAATATTGGAAATGACCCTGATTCCTGAGACAGAACTGCGCAAAGCCACAATCCCTATCTTCTTTGACATGATGCAATGTGAATTCCACTCCACCCGCAGCTTCCAAATGGTAAGGATACAACTGTAAAGCGTGTGGGGATGGAGGGACAGCCAGAACACTGGGGAGACACTCCTGTGATTCTGGAGCTTAAAGGTGCTATACACAGAAACAATTCTCTGCAGCTCAAAGAAAAGCATGTGATGGTTCTAACTGAAGAGACTGTCATCTTCTCTCTTCCTCTTTAGGGAAGGTGGTTGTCAGATTCCAGTGGTCTCTTGCTGGTTTTTATGTGGGCTTTCCCATTAGGGGGTCTCCTGGGAATGGGGAGATGGCTTAGTGGGTCAGAACGCTTGCTATAAACATGAGGACCCGATTTGAATCCCCAGCACCCATATAAAAATGCTGGGCACAGCCATACATGTTTGTAAACCCAGCACTGGGGGAGGAGGTAGACGGATCCCAGGAACTTGCTGACCAGACAGCCTGGCCAAAACAGTGGGCTACCGGTTTGGTGAGAGAGCCTGTCTCAGAGAGCAGGGTGGATTTCTAGAACAGGACACCTGGTGTCCTCCGCTGGCTTCAGGTTTCCATGCACTTGCACTCACACACACATACACGGGCACACACAGCGAATAAATAAACGAGTCCCTTTCTCCTCCCTCCGGGGTGTGTGAACATGCAGTGTGGACTCAGTTGTTTGTGATATTCTCGTACACTGGACACTTCTCACAGGGTTGAGTGTTTTCAGATCTAAAGTCTTGGCTTGTTTCCCTCTAAGTGTGTGTCTGGATTGCTGATCTGTGCAAAGGACAGGAGATTATTCCTCTAAGAAATGGTTTACAAAATGCTGAGCATGTGCAACAGAAAGAATGAGATCTGAGCCCCTCAGGCTTCACGAGTAGAAGACTTCCTTCTCTGATTCCCGTGAAAACAAGCCAGTGCTCCTGCATTCTTAGGTGGGCATCCTTGTGTGCACCTGAGGATCAGTGGCGTTTTCCTTGTGTTCAAGGCTTGGCCATGATGCTTTGCGTGAGACACAGGAAGTGCAGGTAGGAGGGGTCTTCTAGATTGAAAAGGACTTTTTCAAAAAATGACAGTTCAACTAAGACAGTATAGTGAAGATTTGTTTTTTGTTTTTTTAAGGAATTCCAAGGAAATTCCCATAGTGAAAAGAAATGTAAACTGCACTGATTAAGGAGGTGTGATCCTTTTCTTAATATTTTATTTATTTTTATTTTTGTGTGTATGAGCGTATTGCCTGCACATAAGTACAATGCCCATGGAGATCAGAAGAAGGCATTGGAGTCCCCCTGGAACTGGAGTTACAGATGGTTGCTAGCCGCCATGTGGGTGCTGGGAATCGGACCCAAGTTCTCCACAAGAAAAGCCTGTGCTCTTAGTGGCTGAGCAGTCTCTCCAGCCCCAGGGGTGTGATTCTAGTGGGAGCTAATCATAGAACATTCTCCTTGCTTGCTTTTGAACTTGACCTTTGAGGGCATTTGAGCAGCTCATAGATTTTCACTGGTGGGTATTTGTCACTATTATTGCTCAAAGGTAGAATGTGTGAGGAACCATCCTGCTACTTCCTGTAACAGAAGAGAGAAACAGAAAACGAAAGAGAGTCTACGCTGGGCAGGAGCTGACACCACACACCACACACACACACACACCACACACACACACACCCCACACACACACAGACATACCACACACACACACAGACATACCACACACACACCACACATCACACACACACACCACACCACACACACACACCACACACACACCCCCCACACACACAGACACACACATCCCAAACAAAACCGCACACACACACACCCCACCACACACACACCACACATACACACACACCGCACACACACACACCACACACACACCACACCACACACACACCACACCACACACACACACACACACACACAGGAGCTGACTCCCCCCCACACCACACACACATACACACACTCAAACACACACACACCACACCACACACACCACACACACACATAGGAGCTGACTCCCCACACATACACCACACACACACACACAGTGTAACCTGGAAGATGGTGACTCCCAGAATCTACTAGGAGTTCCTGGGTTCTGAGCAGATCAGTCCAGATCATGGCCTCACTGATTCAGATTATGACATAAAATCTGGTCTCCAGGGTCCGCAGCATCTGCTGCAGGCACAACGCTGCACAGCCTGGGTATGGCCGTGTCTCTGGGGCTGGTCTTTGAAACCTGAGAGGGTAGCACAGGAAATGGGCCATGCATGAGTTTCACCTCCACATTCCCATGAGGGATTCCAAAACCCACTACATCCATATGATACCTGGCTGGGATGTCGCTATCTTTTTTTTGCTCTCTGGTCCCCTAGCAGGCTTTATAAGGCAACTGGGGAATGGTGTGATTTGGTTGGGTTGGATTGGGTTGGGGTTTTCAAGACAGAGTCTCACTCTATAACCCAAGTTGTCCTGAAACTCACTGTATAGCTCAGGTTGACCTCAAACTACTGGCAAGCCTCCTGCCTTAGACTCCCATGTGCTAGGATTAGAGGTGTAAGCAACCACACCAAGCTCAGTTGTTGTTTTGATAAGATTGCTGTTAAAAATACCATTTTCTGCCAGGCGTGGTGCATGCACACCTTTAGTCCCAGCACTCAGGAGGCAGAGGTAGGTGAATCTCTATGAGATTGAGGCCAGCCTGGTCTACATAGCAAGTGCCAGGCCAGCTGGGGCTACAGGGAGACCCTGTCTGTCTGAAAACAAACAAAAACCCATTTTCTGTTACTTTCCCTGGTGCAGTGTGAGGTGGTGGGTTGAGCAGTACTTGGGCCCCTCCCTTCCCCTCCCCTATTTTCTACCCCCTCCCCCTCCACTCTCCCTCCTCCCCCTCTA